AATCTAAAATAAAAATTGATAAAAATAATGACTTGTGGAATTTTTAAAGAAATAAAGGAATTAAAAGAAGAAGAATTGAAAAAAAAATCAAAGCTGACAACAGCAAAAAGAAAGGAAGGAAATTTTGAATTTAGAAAGGAAAAGTAATGTTCACTATCGACAAAACCTCTGCAAAGCGCGGCGTACGGAAGTCAGAGACTTGGAGTAATATCCGGCGGAGACGAACATTTCAAGAGTTTGGATTCGTTAACAAGCCAGTTGTGTCTTTTGCTAACGTGTTTCTCTAAAAAAAAAATGTCTTCGACTTTTTCGGGCACCGGAAGAGTACCGGGAGAAACAATGTAAGTAAAAAAAAAAAAAAAAGAAAAGAAAAAGAAACATGAAAAATATACAAAAAGAAAATATACCGCTTTCGTTTTGTAGAATAAAATAAGCAAATAAGTTTTTTTTTTAAAAAAAATAAGATAATAAATTATCGGTAGCACATATGTCGGCGGATGTATTCTGTTTGAGCAGAAAGTGGAACATTTTTCTATCCTGCTTTTGTTGAAGTTTGCATTTAGCCGGAGGCTACGCAATTTCGAGAAAATAACTGGTAAACGAACGTTGCCAGATAGCAAGCAGAAAAATGGGAAAAAAAATTAAAAAAAAAACAAAAACGAAATTTGTGTGTGGGCGTAGATATTAGATTTTACACAACAGAATCTCTACACAATTTATGGTTGGTGATGCGGTTTATTCGCTGGCAGATTGCGGACAATAGAGTAGTTATTTATGTATATATTACATAAAATGTGGCACAAGGGCTAAAAATGGGGATTGCGAGAATGCTGGTCACTACTGTTCTTAAATTTAGCTTAACTAGTCATATTCACTGACTCAATCATGCTAATAATAATACTTTCACCATAATACCACATTTATATAAAAAAACATATTTGTCACAATCAACAAAACAACGCATTCTTTCCCCGAACACCTAAACTAATATCCCAATTTTTATAAATATCTGCAGAGTAGGATGGACAACATCATTTTTATTTATATCATAAAATAACCCCATGATTTGCATGTCTATATATATATATATATATATATATATATATATATATATATATATATATATATAATAATAATAATGCTTAAACACTAGTATTCCATGGTTATAATTTATTACATTGGAATCGTAATAACGATCCAATTCATCAGACCTACAAAAATGTTAGTATGGGACCCTCCATACGTCTAAACATGGCATAGAAGCAAGGTAACTTGAAAAATACAGTGGGGAAGTGGGGAAAGAAAAATAAAATAAAATAAACAGTAAACGAAATATTCTCACTGCTCCAAAGAATTATGTCTTCTGTCACCTAAAAGGGGAATCGGAAAGGCAATGATAGCTGAAACTATAGTTGGTGGATTAAAATAAATTAAATGGGGCCAATGACCGTTCAATCTCGAGCTAAGTTAATCAATTTTCAAAGAAGATAGTGGACAATAGAAAAGTTAGTATGGAAGGAAAATATAAATATAACAAAAGATATCTTCGAACCAGAAACAAAGTTGAGTTATATAACAGCAACTCTTCTTAAATCATTAGTTTAAAAGAAATACATCAAATATAGGTTACATAATCTTTGAAGCTGGCAATGTAAATACGTAAACGGCGGCGCATTCAAACAAATAGGAAATCATGACTAAATTTGGCACATGGCCAGGTAGATTAACGGTAGGATAAGATAAAATTCAGAATCTCAAGGGGAGAGTTTTGAATTATTTTTTTTTACTGTTTATCAACCCTTTGTGGGTTATTTAAAACCGAAACATAATTACAATTGTATGAATGAGCCTCTATTGTGAGAAGGAATAATGCATTAAATTTTTTTTTAAGATAAAAGTTCCAGTTACATTTACTAGTTTTTGACACATAGCTGGATCAGTATAAAAGAGAGTTAGTTTGCAACGATAAACTATCATGCCTGAAATGATTCACTTTTTTCGTTTAATTTTGTATTATAAATCAATCAATTAAACTCTACTTGCTGAGCAACAAATATTATGTATATAAATAAAGAAACTATGCAAATAAAACATATTTCACAAATAGTAAATACGCGAACAGCACAATGCTTTCCAAGTATATCTGGGAAATTAAAAACAAAACACATTTCACACCAAAAATATAATGAAAAATAAGGAAAATATAATCAGCCTACAACAATCAATCAAAAAGCTGCAAACTTTGCTTGGAGGAAAAATAGCTATTATTACCTTCCCAGATAAAAAATAAATTACTGAATAAACGATCTGAGCTCAAGTCAAAATGCAGACATGAAAACAAATTTTTACTACGTTACTTAAAAATCGAAAACTGAAATGAATAAATACAGATAAACAAAGTAATATAAAAAACAAGTAAAATAAATTAACCCAAACAAATAATGAACAAATTAACAAATTATTCCCGTTAGAATTGACGAAATAGAATAAATAAAATACATAAAAAACAAGTAAAAACAACCAACACAAATAAGTAAATAAAGTAAATAAGAATAAACAAATTAACAAACCATTCCCACCAAAATAACCGTCAGAATAGATTACAAAAACCAATCCAAACATTGGACGTAAAAATAGCAAAACTGCTATATATCGATAAAAAAAAAACATCACTACCTTAATCAGAAATCGAAAACCAAATATAATAAATAAAATATACACAATAAAAAAAGTAATAAAAATCAGTCCAAATAAATTAATGAATGAAAGAATTAACTGATGACCCCGCTAAAATAAATGTCAGAACTAATAAAAATAAGTATAAATAGGCAAAAACAAGTAAAAATAATAAATCCAAATATAAATATGAAAAACTCTCCACCCGGCAAAATAACAGAATAGACTACAGCAAGCAATCTGAACATTGGACGAATAAAAAACTTTAATTATCTTCTCACACCAAAACAAACTATTAAATAAGTGACCTAAGCAAATACCCACTCCATTTTTTACTACGTTAATAAAACATCAAAAACGAAAGGAATAAATAACACAAAAATAAAATGAAAAACAATTAAAATAAATTAATCCAAAAAAATAAATATATTTTTTTTTTATCATTTTCAACCGACACCATACTGGCTGTTTAGAAATGGAGGTCGAATGTTTCCTTATAAGAAAACGTTTAATCTTCATATTCATACGTATAAATCATAAAAACAAATTCGAAATGTTTATCAATCTAACACGTTTTACTTTTATTAAAGCTTCGTCAGAGATTGAGAGGAAACAGACAAATTCAGTTTCGTTTGGATCAATCCCCATTAGTCAATCATGTATCACGTCCATGAAAACCATAAAAAAATTCTATCTCTATCTAAGCTTCTTATATGTTTCAACTGGCATCGGATAGTAATATATATTCGTAATTGTTTATGTGGGTTTGTCTATGATGTAATGGAATAATCTGTTATCCCATGAGTGACTACACTATAGGTAGTAACTATTTATAACTATCCGTATGGAAACGGACTACGGGAGTCCATCTGGTATCTGTTCCGGCTGTGCTGTCGAACTCTCTACCTTCGGGCAGAGAGGAACTCGGACGAGGTTATGCCGAAGGGCAGAGTCTTGTTAGGGGATGTAGACAGACCCGATCCCGTCTATACGGGGTTTACGCGGAATTTTTGGTCAAGCCTACGGGCTAGGAATGATCCACATTAAACTCGGCCTTGTGTCACCTCCTGCCTCGTGGGGGCTGGTGGTAAATATCATCCAGCAGGGATCTGTTGAGTTCGACTCAGACTCACGCGGGAACGACCAACCTTCCAATAGCAGCACTCACTACTGGTTTGACTTGCGACGACCGTGCGCATAGCTGTACCTTATTTCTTATTGTATTGGTTATTTCAATAAAACTTTATTTATTTATCCACCGTGTTTGTTAGTTATATATTCCTATTAACACGGAATATAACATTCTAGTAGAAGGTGTTCTAATGTTCTCAGCCAGCAGTGGTATTCTATTAATCTATTAATCTGGTGTTGTTTTTTATGTACGCACTTTTTTATTTATCATAGGACGCGTACTGTTTGTATTTATTATAGGGCGCGTAGCCGAGTTGTTAAAACGTTCGCTTTCTGAACATGAGTCCCGAGTTCGAATCTCACCACGATTGAACCCTTGGGAGACGTCGATAGCTGTCCTAGCACGAATTCGCAAATCATCGTGACCAAGTGTTTGATTGCGTTTGCCTTTTGTTCACGCTAGATAGAACATTCTCTCCAAGAATCTGTTACTAACATCTCCTCAGCATTGTTGCAATATAAGTCACAGGTAGGTTCTGTGTGTGTTGAACAATGAAGCGTCTGCTAATAGACGGTTATCCTCGAATAGCAGTTATTACTGTTTGTGTTAGATTCTTTATAAATTGATATAAACATGGATGACAATATAATGAAATGTTTAGGGGTGTCTTTATAGGTGATAATAATGTTGTTATTAAGTTTCAAAATTATTTTCTCCTCAAAGATCAGAATTGTTCCTGTGTAATAGGACAGAGAATGTTTGTCCAAACTTAAGCACCTCCGTGATGTCTATCCCACAAATATTTTTGTATTGTAAACAATTTATTTGAATAGGTGTTAGATTTATTTTTCTTCCTAATTATATATCTGATTGTCTTAGAAGGGTTTGTAACGATCCTAGTATTAGGGATTTAAGAAAAATTACACAAAATTCATAATCCTACGCTCTTTCTGCTTAACTCGCAAATAATTAGTCATCCCTAATCCATGTGTGTGTGTGTGTGTGTGTGTTTAAATATGGTGTAGTAAAAAGTAAAACATTCAACCATGCTTTTTCTAGAAAGAAACATTTTTGAGGGTCGTAGTCTGAGTAATGACAGCGCACAATATCAAGAGATAGAACCAGTAATTATAAATTAAAATAAATAAACATATATGAGGATTGCGAAGATTCCGTCTGCTCGACATTGAATTTAACCCCTGATAACTGGATATGATGTATATGGACAGAGAGAGAGAGAGAGAGAGAGAGAGAGATAGTTCAGTGTATAAATGTTCATACTTCTACGACATTTCTGTGTCTTGAAAATATTTTCATTCAAATTCTGATTTTCTTCTTAGCAGATAAAAATATAAGAAGAAGGAATACATTCAGGATGAATATGGTAAAAAATAAATTTTATTTATATATTGATGGGAATTTGATATAAACACTGTTACATGTAAACAAGGAAAGAAACAACGAAAGTAAGAAAGATAGAAAGAATGAAAGAAAGGGAAAAAGAAAGAAATAAAGAAAGAAAGAGAAAGAAAAGGTAAAAGAAAGAAAGAAAGAAAGAAAGAAAGAAAAAGAAAGAAAGAAAGAATGTAATATGAATGCTAAGGAAAAAGGAAGGAAACCTATTTTTTTCTTCTTTTATGTGACGCGTCCCTTCAGGATGTGGGTAAGCATGAGTTTTCACATTTTATTTCTTGTAGCTCTTAAGCAACCTGTGTCCCTTTACGATCTCTATCAGCCCATGATCTACCATCCATTTACTAAATATCGACCTGTAGTTTATTCGCTAAATATCTTAAATATTCGATTCTGTAATATCAATATAACTCCTATTAGCTTGGTTTACCCCTTGTAATTCTAAATCCATTGATTTGACAGGATTATTGTCATGCAGTCTTTTCTCTTTTTAGAGAAAAAAATAAATATTGGGTTTCTCTTCCAGAATAAACTTATTGCGCATGAGAAAAAATAATATAAGTATATAAGCTTGCCATTTGTTTATAAAAAAAAAGTAATGCTTTTTCGAAGGAGTTGTACTAATTATTTGCATTCGCTCGCATATGCTGAAGAGACGATAGCTAAATAATTAAAGCGACGTTCATCGTATTCGCCAGAGAGAAATGTATAGTTGAAATTATTAATATATATATATACATATATACACACACATCTGTAACTGATCTTGCCATAGATTACGTCACGTCCATGATATATAAGTATCTTACGTAAAATATTTTGAGTAATAATATTTTGAATAATATTAAGATGAAAATTGAATAATCAAAATTAATATTGCCTGATAATTATTAATCTAATTAAAAAAATAGAAATAATATAACTACTAATAAAACAACATTAAATCAGTAACAATAAGTCACCGAGCAATTAGGGAATAATGAAATTTAAGTTTATTGATTTAAATTTTATATTCTGCCAACACATTACTTTTAAATATCCAAGTAAGTGTTACTTACAAATATGTTTACCGAGGAGTAGGATGTTGAATTTTAACAAAAAGCATTATGCTCTGCCTATATTTGAACATTGACAAGTCAGACGTGCTGCGGCGAAAAGGGACTAAAATTTAAATGAACAAAAACACAGGTAAAAAGTTAACAATAATTAACAAATAAATGTGTTATACTTAAGTATCTGTCTATATTTCTGAGATAAGTTATTATGTACAGTATTTACATTCTTCGGACTATTGTCGTCATCTTTGTCGCCATATTTATTACAACGGTTCGGCCGTTGTACGCTACGGCCTTCCTCAGGCGGTTAGAATGTCGAACTGAACCCTGTATTTCGCCCACTGGGGTAGACTAGTTCCACGTGTCATGTTTAATGGATGTCAGTTATCTCCGGTTAATTACTCTCTCCAAATTCTCCTTAACTCACACTCTTTGGGTCTTGTCACTGGATCTAACCAATGCATTTTACCCACTGTGTCATGTGCCTAAGCTTACAGCGAGTGTCTAAATATTTTTATTAAACAGAAGTCATTGAAAGATGCAGTAAAAACAAGTGTAATTTTGTTAACATAGGTATAATAATATTTTGTGGTTAAAATGTTTTAACAGCGATATTGCTCTGTATTGAAGCTCAGATAAAAGTCTTGTTTTCGAATTTCACAGATAAGAGTTATCTAGTATAATTAACTCCATGAAATCAGTACAAAATAGCTTCAGAATATCGCTCGGAAGGAAAATAAAACAGAACTAATTTCGTCTTGGTTGTATGTATGGCTGTGACCACTTGTGTGCGGCTGTATACATACGCAACCACCTTTCTTTTCGGGGTTTCAGATTCATAATTATTATGATAATTTCGAACAGATTCATCCCATTGCCTATCTAGGACTTGACACTTTCAAAGAAGCCCTCTGAAGGCGATAGATAAATAGAGAGAGTGAGAGAGTGTGCGTGTAGTTCAAGAAAGTTAAAGAGAGGAGAGGTTAATGAATATTCAAATTACTCTTGAACCCCTAAGATGCCAGTCATAACAAGAAGCTGGTTTCGTTTCTTGACATGACCACCAGAAGTGACCTTCGTGAAATGTGAAAGGTTACATGAGCGTTAGGCTTCTAAGGGAGAAGTACGGATGAACAACAGCACAATAATTGATTAGCATATGCCAATAACACAACGCATTGTCATGAGTTACATTGACTGGCTGGCTGTCAGAATGACAAGTATTTTTGCATCACAATATTGATGTCGAACAAAATAGTTGCAGGGATGTCTCAAGATATAAACACTGGGACATATATAGAAATGCGTGCTCCTCAGGGAGAAAATGGTGTAAATAAACGACACGGGATCTGTGAGTTGGGTTGATAAATATGGACTTTATATATGTTTATTTGAATATCTGAAGGTTTGGTAAGATGATCGGTGTAACATTACACTTCCGGGGAGAGCAAGTGTTTTCCTTCTCGCTACATGAATATGTAGTCTTATGTGTATATAAGATTAGAAAAAAGGACGCATTAGATTAGAGAATAAAATGGATGTACACATACACACGTAAACGCAGGTTTTTTTTTTATAGATCAAGCAAAATAAATATTTAAATAAAAAGTACACTTAATAAAAACATAAATTTATGATAATCGCAAAAGATTTATTTTATCGCAACACGTGACATGCTTAAAAAATCACGACTTCAAATCGGCATGGTTTGAAATCGCAGTCTCTAATTATCTCTCAATAATGTACGAATCAGTCAAGAGTTTATTTTTACTGTCGCTACGAAATGACAACAGGATGTCAGTGGAGAAACTAAAATTCGGCTAACAGTGCTCAAATTATTCCTTTAGGATTGTCTTACCATTTTTTTCCTTTTAATTGTTTGTCACTTCTGGATCTTCGCGGAGATTTCCTTGCAGTTTTTTTTAGCATTTTCCATGAAAACTCAGTTCTGTTATGTTCTCTTAAGAAGTTCTTTTCTAGATGTCGAATTTATGACTGATTATATTTCTAAAATGACGTAGTTTAATTATTTACGCTATTTAGAATATCTGGACTCTTATCCTCATCTTTGTTACCATACTGACGACGTTTCGGCCGTTATACGTTCCGGCATTCATCAGATATTTGGAATTTTGAACCAAACACTTTCTTTCAGTGTTGGTTGCTCTAGTCTCACGTGCCATGCCTCTTCCGGGTATCTCCGTATCAGTTATTTCTTTTTAAATCAGCTCTATAATGTTTTATTCACCTTTGCTATCGCCAAGTATTGAACTCACGACATTTTTAGTCAAGTCACCAAATTACCAATGCTTTGAATTTTTGAGACTAAATGTCTCAGGAAACATTTTTTTTTTATCAGAGCTCATATTATATTTTTTTCTCATTGTTTTTTCTGTAGCATTCCGCATTACTTATTCCTATTCTTTGTATTGATCATGTCTATGCTTGGCCGGCTTAGCAAATTTTTATGGCTTAGCAAATTTTTATGGCCTAGCATTTGCACTAATTTCTTAAGTTTTCGTATTTTCCAGTGATGTTCTCTGTCAATTATTTCCACCTCATCCCACAGGTGGTGCTGACCTCGTTTTTCCCTCCATATAAGTTCAGCCACGCCTGATTTTGCTATTTCCCTTTTGTTACGGCTTTACAGAGTTCCTATAGTTTTATCTTAAGGTGGCGGCCTGTTTCATCTTCAAATATTTTGCCATTGCTGCACGGTATGTCGTACACACAGTCCTTAGACATATTCTTCTGTATATGTGGTCTTACTCGTAAGAGGTTCCTGCGAAGTGTTGAAATACTTAAGAAGGTCGTCCTTATTTTTATATGGACCACAACTCTTTTGTAGTTTTTCCGATAATCCCTTCACATTCTAGAACTATAACAGTCTATCCCGGCAGACGTAATACTGTGTTCGCTTTTACCTGTGTTTACCTGTGTTTTACCTGTCTGTTGGGCTCTAATATATATATATATATATATATATATATATATATATATATATATATATATATATATATATATATATATATATATATATATATATATATGAAAAGTGTATATAAATATAAATAAATATATATATGTATAATTATTTATATATCATATACGCAGTACTTATTATTAAAGCGCTCAATATCAGGGATAGAGCTAACATATTTGGTTGGATAGATGTGAGTTTGTGACCCTGGGTTTCGCGCTTTAGCGATCGTCAGCAGTAAACCGTGAAACCCATGGTCACAAACTCACATCTATCCAACAAATATATATATATATATATATATATATATATATATATATATATATATATATATAAATTAATTGATTTAAAATATGTTTTTTTCGCTACACAGTTCCAACCATGTTTCAAAAATAGAAGCTAAAAACCCCGAATTTAATTTTGCAATTAATTTTATATCTTACTGTTCTTTCTTTTTATTTATATACATGTGTGTGTATGCGTGTGTGTGTGTGTGTGTGTGTGTAGTGACCACTAATATTATCTATCTATCTATCTATCTATCTATCTATCTATATATATATATATATATATATATATACTACAATTCAAAATTTTGTGGCAACACCTGTTCGTTTTTTAAACTAGCAAAAAAGTAGTTGTTTTGTACTTTAAATTATACACGATAAAAAAGTGAAACATGATTTTTTATGACAAAAATAAAAAATAAAAATAAATTGATGTGTAATCTTTGCACTTGTCACAATATCCTTTATTAGCTTTTATTACTGCAGCACATATTTTTTGGCATTCTTTGCAAAAGTTTCTCAAAGTATAAGTTTCATAATTGGTTCCATTCTTTTTTCAATGTCCCAAAGAGTTCTTTTTACTATTTTTTTTCACTCTTCTGTCAAGTTCATACCATCCTAATTCTGGGAGTGGCTTCTAACTTTAGAACTGTAGTGCACACACACACACACACACACACACACACACACACACATATATATATATATATATATATATATATATATATATACAGACATTTGTTTGTATAAGTGCATATATATGGGTGTATGTATAAGATTATGATAAAAGTTCAATGAGAATTCGACGAAATATTAAATATATAAGGATATTTTCGACAGAAGAAAAAAATTCTCAAATGAAA